TGGTGCAATGAGGTTCCCCTCGCAAGCAGACTTTGTGGTCTTTTTTAGGGATTCTTTGGACATGTGTTTCTAATGCAGTTTATTTAAAGGGGGGAAAAGAGAAAAAACGGGGAAAAGGGAAAAGGTTATTTATTTTTGAGAAAATATTGTCTGTATTGAAGCATTTTAGCTGATCATCACAAGCTGCAGTCAAAATATATTAGGCAGAAATAAGAATAAGGATGTTAGGAGGTTTTTTTGGGGGGGTATATTTTGTTTGATTGTTTTTTGGTAGTTTTTTTGTTTGTTTGTTTGTTTCTTTTCTCCTTTTTTTTTTTTCTTTTTTTTCCCCCACCTGGATGTAGACATCCTGAGATCCCAAGGTTTTCCTGTCTGATCTTACTCCCTTTATTTTGCTGCTGGTTCTGGTGGCTGATAAACAGCTCCATGGTTAGGCAGAGCCCTGGGGAGCTCCTCTGGCCTCCCTCCCCCAGGACACTCGCCAGAGGGGAGGGTAAACAAGCCAGCAGTACATTTTATTTCCATTTGGAAACTGTTAGAGTGCAAGGACACTTCTGGTTTGGGGCTTTGGGTTTTCTAGACAGGCTGTGTTGTTTTTAACAGAGTCATGTATCAGCAAGCCTGGTAATCTTTATCAAGAAGGCACGTATTTTTTAATATGTAAATAGGAAAGGATGGTGTTTCATCTTTATTCCAATGTACCCAGGGTGGCAATAAAGCTTTTTAAATCCCTGTGAAACAGATTGTATATGGCAAAATTAATGCCTCAACTCTCCAAGTATTTTCTCTAAAATATTTGAATTTTTGCGTTTATTATGCCGCTTGTTTAAAATAGCGAGCGATATCAGCCGTGCATTCAAAGCTTAATTGGTGGAACACAGATTTATTCTAATTTAAAACAGTCACTTAAAAACAGTTTTGTATATATGTATACATGGGCACAACTTTTCATACAGTTGTCTGTTTTGGAGCAGTCTCTTAGGCACTGATGTACAAGTTGAACCTGTTTTCTTTTGTGCAACATGGCTTTGAGAAATCATTAGCTAAAACAGGGTTCTGTGGTTCCAGTGCAGTCAGTAAACAGCCTGACATGAGTCGTGCGTGAGATGATTGAAATCCTGCCTTTGATCAGGCCTGGATTGTGCCAGATACAATCCCGAGGTGTGTGTCAATGCATGTGGGGATGTATTCATGTATTGGTGAAAGCTGCTTTAATGAAAATTTGGCCAAGTAGCAAAATAACCTGTTCATCAGCAATTGCCCCAGCAGGATGATGATGGAAGAGCAGCAAAAGGAACTGCAGCCATGTGCTCATCCATGTCACCCTCCCCAGGCAGGGCATGGCTGTCTGGAGATGCTTGGGATGGTTCTCCTCCTTTTTCAGTCACATTTGTCATTCCTCTTTTTTTCCTTGGCCCCCTTCTGACTCGTCCTGCTCCTTGCCATCGTTTTTTAAGGACTTTTCCTCTGCCATCTGTTTTCTCCTTTAAGCTGGGCTCTGTTCTGGCCTTTGTGGTGTTGGGGGGATGTTTTGCAGCTTTGGGGGGGTTGGTTCAGGTTGCCTGGCCTGATCTGTGTAGCAGTCCCTGACTCGCTCCGGTGGAGCATGGGAATTTCAGATATACTTTCTTGCTTGCTGTTTTCTCCCACTGCACCTCTTCTCATTCTCCTGTGCACACAGGGATGCCTCTGCTGCCTCTCAGGTGTGTCCTGCCCTTTGCAGAGCTCCCTCACACCCAGGCAGCCCTTGCCATGGGGGGCACTTCCAGCCTGTGCCACCCAGGCACTGCTGGCTGTGGTGCTGTTCCTTTACAGCATAAACTCTTGACAGCTCTTCAGTGTATCAGGAACTTCAGTGCAGCCAGTTTTGCAGTTTGATGTAGGAATGATGCTCTGGGTTCCTTCAGAAGCCCCAGGAGCAGCTGGACCCCAGGGTGGAGATGCACAGAGAGAGGGAAAGGTGAGGGACCTCATGCTGATGAGATGAAGTCCACAGTGATCTGCCCGATTGTCTGAGCTGTGTGCCTCTGCCTTTGAGATTTAAACAGTGAAATATTAAAACTTGTCTTTCAAATCTGCTCAATATTACAAAGATTAATTTTTGTTGGGGGCAGATTAATAGGTTTCCTATTCTGATTAATACAGTGATAATAAAAACGTTGTGATTGCTGGAATTAATGAAGCCCAGATTCCTGTTTCAAGGTTTGATTGACTTTGTACTTCAGTTATGCTAAAGCTGCTGCATCTCATTGCCCCTTATCGAGCTGGTGCCTTCTAAGAATCTGTATGGGAGCGGGGCAGTGCAGAAGGTTTTTGTTAGAGGGCTGTATTGGAAGCCCTGTCAAAAAATCTTTTGGGGAAGATTTGCCAAAAATTGATCAAGGGTTTTGCTCATGTTGCAGCAGTATTAGAGTTTCTGTGTCTTCAACCCAGCGTGCTATTTTTGTGAAAGTTGTGGAAGAGGAGTGGCCAACTCAAATGTGTGGGCACATCATTAGAAGCTTCAATTTGTCAATGCCAGATCGAACTGGAGTGTGTGGGTAGATCATTAAAGGCTTGAGTTTATCAGAACCGATCTATAATCTGTTCCTCTCGCTCCTCCACCCTCCCCCCCAGCAGTACGGGTTGTTTCTCCAGGTTCTCCAGCACTGGAAGTGCCTGAGCTGGCTGTGTGCCCCTGGGCTGTGCTGGGCTCCCTCCTGGCAGGAGCTGCTGTGCTGGGCTCAGCCTGGAGCTGTGCCTGGAGCCACTGGGTTTGGAGGCCACCAGTGGGGCAAGCCCCGGAGCTAATGCCGTGAGAACTCGTGTCTTTGGGAGCTCTCTGCTCCCATTAATCCCAAGGGATTCAAAAGATGCAGGTGGGGCTGGGTGCAGAAAGTACATGGTGATCATGTAGGCTTTGTTCCCTTGGGAAACCTGGCTGAAGAAATGTTTTGTGGAGTGAGGTCAGTTTTTGATGGCGTAAGAAGCATCAGTTTTTCCAGGTGCACTGTCAGAGTTCAGGGCAAGCTGGATGGAATGTCTTTGCCTCCTCCCTGCACTACTTCTTATTCCTCAGGTAGGAGCTCTCTAAGCTTCCAGGTCTGCTTGTTTTCACAAGGGTGCCAAGATATTCCTTATGCTGAGGAAGGATGTGAGGAGTGATCTGCAGGTGAGGACAGTGCTTCTGTACACTGCAGCACTCATTTCTGCAGACCACATATATTATTTAGACAATAATTTTGCTTCAAAAGTCTTGAACATTAATTTCTTGAGCAAGCAGTAGCTAAAATGAGCCTCGATTCCTCATCTTTTAAAGAGGGCTCATGATACTTTCCTGCCCTACAGATGTATCATGGATAAAGATTAGTTGAATACTGTGGTGCAGCAGGTCAGCTGGAGAAATCTTGTCCCAACATATGTAGATGCAGCTTTCTGCTCAGCTACAAACCCATCTGCATATCTGTCATCAAGCACAGCAATAAAGAAAGGCTCAGATGTGTGTTTCTGACACTGCTCTGTTGCTTCTCTCAAGTGCTCTGCCCCTCATGAATAAAATACAACCAGTGCAAGATGCAGGTCACTTTTGGTTTGCAGGTATTGCAGAGTCTCCGAGAAAGAAGTCATTTTTAGCATAAATGCTGTTTAAAAACCCCTTTTGGATCTATTTTTATTGTGTAGCACAGTTTTTTAACAGGGTCACACAGGCCCTATATTTAGATTTCTGAACCCTTGTGATCTTTGAGCCGTTGCGCATTCAGCAAAGAACGGGAGAAAGCCCCAGGGCCAGAGAAGTACCTGGATTTTGTCTTACAAAATTTCATGCAGTTGTTGCTAAGACAGAAGCTTCCAGATGTTCCTCAGGAAGGCTGCAGTGGACTGCCAAAGTAATTAACTCCATGAGGTTAATTTGGGGCCAGCAGTGCTTGCCCCTGTCCTGCCCTGGTGGGTGCAGCCACTGCCTTGGGGATGCTGTTCAGTGTGAGGATTGAGGAATGAAGGGCTCAGAAGCACCACAGGTGATTTTTGCTTTCGTGCTTTTTCCTTTTTGAGTGTTTCAAGGTGTTTTTCTCCACTGCAAAGTTGTCTTTGTCCCCTGGGGTTTATGCTGCAGGTCCCTGTCGTGCACAGGTCCTGGGAGCAGAGGCTCTCCCAGGTGTTGGTGCATTCATTGGGGCAGAGTGTGCCCTTCCCCAGTTTGGGCAGGCACCAGAGCTGCTGTTTAAATCCCATGTGGTTTCATAGATGTGATGCAGAACAGCCCTGGGAACACTCTGGTTGTGTTTCTGAGCATTAGTTGTTACTCAGTGCAGATACTGTATCAGTGAAGATATTATACATCTTATTTTAAAATACCCTTATTAGTAAAATGGGTGTTTCATTTGTACAGGGAACAGCTTCCTCTGAGCTAAGCTTAAGCTCAATCTGTGTTACTAATAGCTGGGGAAAAAAACATACTAATTGGTATTTCTTAACTGATGTTTGCAAGTTTTGCCTTTCCACCCTGAACATCAAATAGTTTTTATATGTGTTTTTCCTTATCTCAGAGGAAAGATTAATGCTAACAAGAGGTTCTACATTTTATTAAGGTTTAATCAGGATGCAGTGAGTGAAGACAGAGAGTAAATAGTTCAGAAATTCAGAGTGTGTTATATTTTGATAATGCAAAGTAGGTTAAAGTATCTGGATTTTGTGCTCAGTACAATGTTTTCAGGCAGAATGTGGATTTGGATGGTGACACATTTTGGTATTTAGAAGGAACATAAGCTCTCCTGTCGGAGGAGCACGTTGCAAATGTGAAATAAGCATTTGTCTCTAAAAACCTTTCTTAATATTGTAAGCTTTGGTTTTATTTAAAGCCAAATAGAGTCTGCTGTGTGATAGTTTGATACACAGACATGCTTCTGTAATGCTCCCCCCAGCTCCAGCATTTATAACCACCTTTTACTTTCAAAGGAAAACGATAGGCTTTGATATGATTCTAACTGAGTGAAGTTTTAAAACATGTTTTTGTCTTTCAGTCTCCTGAGAACATTTTTTCTGAGTGACTCCAGCTTCCAGACACATTTGCCATGAGAAGGGTTCCAATCCTTTCCTGTATTTGCCCTGAGTCATGAATGGATATGTGTGATGCCTGCAAGTAAAACTGGTGAGTTGTCAAGGCTGAGTTTGCAATAACTCTCACTTATTCTTTCTTACCAATTATCTTTCCCTCATTTTTTTTCTTCCCTTTTTAATAAGGTGGGAGGGGGTTGTACTGTCTGTGTTTACAGGCAAGTCACCACTATTCTTAAAAAAACCCAAAGCAGCCTTCATTGGCATGAAATAGCAGAAATATCAAATATTACCTATACAGAAAAAAATACTCCTTTCCTTTCTTTCTTCTCTTCATCCCCCTGAATTCTGTGAACTGTAAGGGCTTTGGTGGTGAAACTGGAGTTCAGTCATGCAGGCAAAGCTCCTGCCCACAGCAAGCCTTGCAGACAGACAGGATCTAAACCAAGCTTGTGTGGGCAATTCATGTAGTGATGAAATATGGATATGGAGAGGTCTCCTTGCCATCATGTGTCACATGGTGGATTCTCAAAGGAGCCATTGCCAACAGATAAATAGCTCTAGCATTTGCTGCACTTGCATCCCAGTGACAAAATGGTGTCACTGGTACACAGGAGAGCTGTCCTGCAGCGTGTGCTTCACCTTGGTGCTGCTGCCCAGCCTGGGGGACATGGGGACAAAGCCTTCCACAGCCTGTTTTGATCAAGCTCAGGAAGATGCTGGAGTGAGACCCCTCCTCTGTTAAGGGCCAGTTGCCTTTTCTGGTGGGGTTACCCCCCAGGAAGCCCCTGGTCCCTTTTGTGCCATGCAGAAGGTGGTTGTGTCTTTTCCAGCTGTCCCCATCCCCCAGGAACCTGGCATGGGGAGTTTTCCAAGCCCACTCCTCTGACCTGCCTCCTCCTGATTGCCTCTCTTCATAACTGGGGTGAGAGGAGGGGCAGTATTAGTTTGGGAAAACAAGAATCATCTCATTCTGCAGCAAAACTGGGAAGTCTGTGTAAGAAATCTTTCAAACCCAGGAAATCTGCATAATTAAATTGTGTAGGAATTGGGAGCACAAATTGTTTTTTTAAATAAATTCAGGTTTCTATTATATATTTAATATCCCTCTGTGTGTTGGAAAGTGCATTTCAATTCAAAGATTATAAAACCTGAGAAATTCGTACATCAGTGAATTGTGATTTTTTTTCTTGTTTCCATTTTTTATTTTTTTTTCCAGAGGTAGCATAATTACCATGTCATTTAGCAAAGATTATAATAGCTGCTCAGTTTTTACCGACTGGTATAGTAAACAGTTGAATAAACCCATATGGCAGCTCAAAGTGTGCATAGAGGAGAGGGATTCTTACCATTTCCTTCATGTCTGAATTACCAGCCTCACTGATACAACTGAGATCCCCAAATGGGGACCAATTCCAGACTTCTCCAGTCATGCAAAAATTTCTCACTGCTCTGTCGCATATGAATCAATTGATTTTAATCACGGTGGTTAGGTAATTAATTATTTCTTTGTGCCTATAAAGTATGCATGGGAAACGTGGGGTTATATGCAAGGTACATGCCTCAATTTAAAGCACCCTGTGCATTTGCTTAATGCCTCTTTAGTAAATGTAAATAATGCCTGGGGTCAGAATCTCAATATCCAGGTATTGTTAAAGATAGAGGCCCTTCTAAGGCTGGCATGGGTGAAGTGTGCCATCACTGGGTGCTGTGACAGCCCCGTGGCACTGCTGGTAGTGGCACTTTGTGTCTGGTCTCAGGGTGGCAAATGGAAGGACCAGAGGGTTTCAAAGCATCCACTTGAAATACCAGGTTGAATTATGAAGGTATGGAGCTGTGGCCAGCCAGCATCTGGAGTAAAGACAAAGTGTTGAAGTAACGTGCCCTCTGGATACCTTCACTATTAAAAAATAAAAGCAATGAGAAGAAGGATTGTTAACTCCCTCCAAATGCTGGCTTGAACAAAGAAAAAGACTCACGCTACTCCTCCTAAAATTCACTTACTTCCAGTTATCTTAAAATTTTCATGTCACATAATAGCTTTAAAATACCTTCTGAATGCATTAGACTCTCCAGGTGCCTAGGAAGTATTGCAGAATAATAATACCAAATGACCAAGCATTGAGCATTCCCACTGGAAAGGAGCAGTTGGCCCAAACTGGTGCTTGTGTTCATCTTAACCCTGATGTACGACCAGCCCTCCACCATAATTCTATCAAGAGATGGTAAGTTGCCTAGCAATGTGCTGACTGCAGAGGGTACGTGTCGAGCTAATTCAGTTTTTGTTCTCGTTTTCCTTGAGAGTTCAGCTTAAAGGAGTGATCCTTTCTCCAGCTGCAGCAAGAGCCACTTCTCGGCCGTCTCTCTTGTTCCCCACTCAAGTGTCCCTGGTGATGTCAGGAATTCATTCAGCGCCGTGCACGCCTTAAAGGTTTCCAGCTTATTGAGTAGCCAAATGTGGTTTCTGCTGATTGTGTTGACTGAATACGTAGGGCCTTTCAAAGAGGCAAGGGTTTTATTTAAGGCAGAGAGTTTAGTTGTATACCATTTTATGGCAGGCAAAGGTCACCTGGGGTAAGCAGCCAGAACAGGGAATTGCCTCATTGCAGCACCTCGGAAAATGAGAGAGAAAGATACAGTAAGAGGTTTTAACAAATTGCTCCTAGTTATGAATTTTTAAAGTCGAGGAGCTGGTGCTGTGTACGTTTTTAAATTGGAGATAACCATGCTTGTAGGATAAATTGAGTTAAGAACGGAACAAATCACAATAATGGGGTGGTACTAAAAGCCTGGTGGTGCTGCCGGCGGCACTGAGCACCGAGCGGACGGCGCATCAGGGACCTGCTGTGTCCCTGCCCTTCCCGCACGGATTGTGGGCACCTTTCCTAACTAACAGTGCCCCTCTCCTCCCTCAGTCCTCCCCTCTGGCTCCTGGTTACAGAAAGGGCTGGATTTGCCCTGTGGTGCTTCTGGTGATAGCCAGGGAGCAAGAGCCAGAGGGGTTTGTCCGTGGAGCAGGGGTGGGTTTCCCAGGTTGTGCTAAGCCAGATGGGTGTCAGTGGCGTGGGGGCAGCTCCAGGAGCCCAGCCTGGCATCCCCTGGCACAGTTGCTCAGAGGGAGAGGTGGCAGCAGCCCCACATTGTCACTTGTGTCCTTGCAGGATCTCCTTTGCTCCTTGTGGCATCAGTGGCTCCAGAAAGACTGTTTTTCTGAAACTTTTCTGTCCGTGGAACTTTCTCTGTGGCAGGGGGAGGAGAGAAGAAGTAATTTTAACAATTTAATAAAGTACATAATGTAAGTTTTATAAGCTGGTGTGAATGCTCCTAAGTATTTTGGTCTTTTTTCATAACACAATGAACCTAATATTGGTAAAAATACAGATCTTAGCTGCCACCATAAAGAGAGGCTAGATTTAATAAACAGTTATGAATGTTGGCAGCTGCCTATCAGATTGTATAACATCGGCTATAGCACATGAAGACAGTGTCAACTTACATTTTATCTCAGAAGTATTTTCAAAGCATTTATTTTGCTTTCTCTTGAGTCCTTAACCTAATTCAAGTTATATAATTGGCGGAATATTTTTCCACACCGCTAATTGGCTGGGTGCCAGCGTGGAAACCATTGTATGACTTGATGATGATCAGGAATTAACATGACATTTGCGTGGTGGTAATGGAATACATTAGTAATGTAATTCATGACTGTAAGAAAGAGACCATCATCTCCCACCTCTGATCAGCAGGAGGGGCTGGGAGGATGATGAAATGCTCCCAGCAGGCACCTCACAGCAGTGGCTGGCCAATCTCGATGTCAAATTTAGTTTTAAATTCTTCAGACAAAGCTGTAATGCTTACCAATTAATTACTACAAATGTCAATTAAAAATCTACCAAATAATGCAGTAAGATTAAATTTCAATTAAAAAAATTACATTTAACAAGGAAGATACAACATTATTTTAATGAATTCTGCTGAAGGTGACAGTTTATCTAGATATATTTATACCGTGTAGGTGGATCTAAATTCATTGGATGATGTTAACCATGTTACTCAGTGTACATATTAGTTTTGAAAATTATTTCGACTTTGGCTATGTCCTGGAGGAGCTGGGGCATCAGAGGGCTTTTCTCATCACCAGGAGAAGGGGGAATTTCACACCTTCTCAGTAAAAAAATCTTCTCACACCTAAAATGAAGGCTTTAGTGCAGAATTCTGTCCTGACCAAATTTGTAGTATTTTTTATTGCTTTATATTTAGAAAAGTAAAGAGAGCATTTTTGTTGTGGCAGTAGAGCAAGCCCTGACTTTTCTGTGTCTATAATGATTTTTTTGGGACAGCTTTTCAAGTAACCTGTTTTATCATACAAATAATACCTATTATTCCAATAAATCACATTACAGGAAAAGATTTTGCTTTGAGAAGGTGGTAAACTTCAAGTCCTGAACAGAGCTTTTATCTGCAAGGCTTTGCCCTAGCTGGGTAGAGGTTGTGAATGGATAATTAAAATCTCCTCATTCAAACTTGAGATACTTGAAGGGATATTTTGAACCAGCAGAAATGTTGTGGGGTGTGTGAAGTTTGCAGGTGTGTGCGCCACAAACTCTTGTAAAGCACCTGTACCTCTCTAGATGCAGAGAGCAAAGTGGGACCTGTAGCTGAAATTCTGGGTGGCAGCAGCTTTGTTCTTATTGCTCAGGGCAGTTTTTGGGCTGCTGGAGATGGAGGTGCTTTAGGAAGGTGTGAGTGCCTGCAGTCTCCAGCATGGCACAGGGGCAGAGCTGGGCAGTGTAAGTGGCTGTCTTGGTATTAAAGTATTTATGAGATCTGAAAAATACGTTATCAGCTTCCTCAAACTTCTTTTCTGAGAGCTTTTATTATGTTTTCACACCGTCACGTCTAGGTAAGAGGGAAGACATAATTGAAGAAGCAGATTTTCTGTGTCAAGCCAGCATGGAAAGAGGTCCCTCTCAGGGACCAAAGGCTCCTTTTCCTTGGCACTGTTGTGTCTGGAGCTATCAAATTTCAGCAGGTTTTACCTTAAAATAAAATATAGAAAAATACAGCGTGCATGCAGAAAATCAGAGAAGCCAA